ATGAAATGATGGTGATAAATCATTCATATAGCTAAATTATGAATAAAATAAACAACAAACACGTTTAGGCCTACTTATCCATTATTTATATTATAAAGGTACAATTCTTTGAAAGGATCAACCTATGATTTAGATAATAAATTATAACACAAAATACACTACAGAAAGCTAAGCCCGTTCATTAAAAATAACGCTTAACGAAAAACGAACATTTATGACCTCTTTTTAAGGTCTGCGCCAAGTTAAAAGATAAAAGTTTTATAATGGAACGTTTCAAAAGGAACGTTTGCAATATTCAAATTTATATCGTTAAAATTAGAATAAATTATAAATATGAATGAACCACTTAAAAGTGCGAAGGTGTGAATGGTGTGAAGTATGTTGTTAAGGTCGGACAAAAACAAATTTCGTGCCACGTGCATGAAATTTGTTTTCGTCTTTACGGTTAATACAGTTGCTTATGAGGAAGCCCGGTAGTGAATGACCACCGAGTAGCGAATGAGGTAATGAATAGGTTCGATATATCCGCACGGACCACGGCGAAAAATTCCTGAAAATTTTGATCTGCCCTGATTAGATACCGGATCACCAAGAAGTTAAGCTGCTACCTTCACATTTCGGCCATCTTGCGGTCCTGGTATTCTAAATTTTAAAAATCGCAAACAATTTAGATTCCGGATACGCAGAATAGCATCAATCTTACCTGTAAACGGTCGTCTTCAAATTCTGATAATTGCATAATTGAGAATGTAATAAAATTACAACACTATTATCCAGTGATAAATTAAACACTACATAATGGCAACATTATTCTGCATTCATAAAAAATTAAATTCATCAACTGTTAAGAAAACCTCGAAGATATCTTTTTCATTTAGATTAGCTTATAAATTATAAACAAAATGAATGAGTTGTTCCAAAATTTCAGCTTTTATGTCCAGAATGATTTTCTTTCGTCTTAGGTTCCCTCTGGCGTAACGAGACCGAAAGTAAAAAATATTTGCTGCCAGGATTAATCTGTTCCAGAGAAGCGGCCTCCATTCTAAAATAGTGTCGCATAATCTGTTATCTACCCGCATTTTGTTGAAAAAAGCTAACATAGATCGTTGCAACTCATTCATTTTTCTTAATTCGATAACTGTTCTTTCGGAAATCGAACAAAAATTGATAAATATTGTTTCAAATTTTCACTTATTGTCGAATTATGATGTAACAAGATGGCTATGTTGATATGAATAAATGTTTGGAATGGAACAAAATATTAAAATAAGTTTAATATTTATTAAACTCCGGTTCCATAATTATGTCCATTCTTATGGCCATTGTGAGTCCATGGGCCATGGGCACCGACTCTAATGGATCGGAACCTACTTATATTATAATTGACTCACAATACTAATGAGTTGACACTAGGGCTATGGTGTTCAAACTACGCTTGCCGGACCAAATCTGGTCGCGTCACATATTAATCACGCCCACGAGCATATTCGACATATCACTCATAAATAACAGGAATAAACCTACTTTTTATGTATGTGGAATATACAGAATAATTGTTGCTCGCTTATCCACGGACTTGTCTCGTATCGGCTAGTTGGGCATGACTTTCAAGGCTATATCGCCAATGGTAAAAGTGTGACGTAATTGTCATGTAATAGTAGTTGTATGCGTTTATGATAATCGTTACGCGGGAAATAATGCCTTCCGGGAAGTCTTTTAAGGATATTCAGACGTTACAGATGTTGAGAAAATCCGAAAAACTCCACGTGACCAGGTCGTTTTGGCCAGGCGCGAACCAACGACCGAACTTCCAGTATTCAGAGAACGGAACCGCTTGGCCACTGGTGGGCCATATCTACGACTTACTGAGTCGTAACTAGGCAGGTGCAACGGGTGCACCCGCACAGGGCCCACTTGGAAGGGGGGGCCCAAACTGCTGTTCACAAGAAATTATTAAATTTTAAATTTTTCCACCTTTCTACAGCGCGGTTTGGCGATTACATTTCGCCTTATTTAGACCCTAGATGTCTGCTCACCAGTGTTTTGAACTGTGGCGACTTTTAGAGGGACGTAGTGAGGTAGCGGAGACCTCAAACAAATCAGCCAAAAGTAACGAATTTTGAGATTTTTTAATTTATTTTTTCAGAAGTTTAAATTTATGTTTATAGTTTTCAAATTTACAAATTTTTTTCTACTTTGTAGAGCTCTTTGGCAACTACTAATATTATTACGATATACAAAACTGCATTTCTAGGTTTTTCTACAGTGTGCAGAGCTAGAAATCTGTAAAGGTAACATTTTGTAACAAAAATAAATCTGCCCGAGGATTTTTTTAAATTACTAAATTGAAAACGGTAACTCCCGAATAAAATCTTAGTCTCGAGGTTGTAAAAGGCGTGCAGAAATTCTGACATTATTTTTTGCTTTATAGTGGTACGCATAAGTGGTGTATATCTGAACGGCGGATTAAGCGGTAAGCGAACTATGCGGGCGCGTAGGGCCCCGAAGGGGTTCCCGCAGTCTTTAATTTTATATTGTTTACTAATGTTAAATTCTATTCCGCTTTGATTTCCAAATTGCTTCAATTTTAAGAAAAAATCGATGCAAGATTTACGATTTACGTGTCTTTTGCTAGCTTTACTCAAATTATTTAAATCGTCAAAGCCATTTTTATTCCACACACTAATTTCATTCGAAAATAGTAGGCAAGGCCAACAAAACAATTTTTGCATCTACAAAGCCATTTTATGTCTTTATATATTTTATCGTGAAAATTTTTTTGTTGACGTATTTATATTTAATTTAATTAAGCATTGGCCTTTCTCTTTTAATAATGTTTTCTTTTTCATTATACGGTCTTGAGTCAAAACGTTTTTAAAATAAATTTTCAATATCACAATTACATTCTAAATTGCTAGCCACGATATAAGGGCTAAAATTGAAAATAAAATTATAAAAACCTACTTGGTGAAATAAAATGTGTGATGAATATACAATTATACATAGCTGGTACAAAATATTCAATTGTATGAATATAGTTTTTAAAGAAAATTATAATTAAATATAGTCTTGTGAAGAAACGTACTTAAAAATAACATAAAATATTCTTTACTTTTTAAATATTAAAACAATCCACTTAGTTAAAATGGCTCCCTACCAGTGGTTCATGGATAGAATCAGAGACGGTCTTGGTAGGTGTGCAGCGCGTGCATGCATGCCAAATCTCGAGGGTGCCGGTACCGGTTAATGTCAAAAGCCTCTTTTGTCGCATCACTAATTAACCTCAAAGGATGTGACAGGGTTGTTTAAATTTTAAACGTTTCTCACCATAGCTGTAAAAATCTAAATTTGTTAAACTTAATAGTCTTTTTTTTCTAAGTAATTCGTTTTAGGACCAGTTGTCCACAGAAATTTCCAAAATTTACAACTTTTCGGTCACTCTCATTGAACTGGAAAAATTTCTGTTCTGTTCTGTTTATATTACATCTAATATTTCGAAGAAATCAGTCCCCACTGTACTCGGCTAGAGATTGGGTCGGTTAAGTTTTTAAGTACAATTTCGGCTCTTTCAGCAGGGTTTTATTTATGCCCCTAATTCCTTGATTATTTAACTTCTTCTTAGGTAGAAATAAATCGAAACCGGTTACTTTGTACTCGAATATTTGTAGTCTCGGAAAAAAGTGGAAAGACAAATTTTTATGACAAACGGATACATAAATCGTAAATTTAAGGAAAATAAATTCTAGAGCTTTTTCTGTACCTCGTGCATCTCTCTCATTCATTAAATTTAGTTGTAAATGATGCTGTCAAAGTAACAGTTAATTTTTTAACATTATACAAGAATTGTACACGTTTTTTTTCTACATCCCCTTAAAGATGGGACATACGAAATCGTAATATCACTGGTTTAACATTGAAATCCGTGAGTAATATAAAATCGGAGAGCGGAATAAAAATATCAAATATTTTAATGGATTTTTTTAAACTCCTGTCAACTATACAGAACTATCATAAAAACATACCAGTAAATTCTTATCGGTTGGGTTAAGTTATAAATTTACTCGTTATTCACGTAATCCGTCAAATATCTAGCGGGCAGGCGGCTAAGAGCCCGGAACCGGTCCTGGATAGAATTCGAAGCGGTATACGCGTAGCACCCACCCGAGGTCCTAGGCTTCCACCAGCTAAACAGGGTGAGGTTGGTGCTCTGTAAAGCGCATGCGCGAATCTGGCTTTTTGGATGCTGACAATACAGTGCTTCCACTCCGCCACTAATATTCGAATATACAATAGCGATCTTATCTTTTTTCACGTGTAGTATAGAAATTTGTAATAGGATACATAATACTGTTATAATAAAATATTGCGCGATTATTTTCATATAAGTAAAATTAATATGTACTTATTTTTTAGAAAATATAAGGGAAGCGGAGCTTCCACCGCTTCCAATGACAGAACGCCAGTCTTCTGCGTTTTCGCAATCCCTTATTTCAGTAGCATTTTAATATTGAAAATTATAACAAAGTTACGGTTAATAGATAAATTATATTTAAATTAGTAGATGTTATCGAAGCAACAATTGGCATTTAGAGGGCATAGGGAATCTATTAAATCCAATATAACAGAGGTAATTGTTAGTGTTGTAACGAATAGTATATTCGGCCTCAGGCCGAATAGCCGAATATTCGGCCAAACTATTTGGCTCGATTATCGCACGTACGAAAATTGGGGCGCAAACCGCATTATGGCAAGGACCCCGCTCTCTATTGGCTCGTTGTCACTACGCTTCGCCAATCGCGTTAATTCTTGACAGTTGAAGCGGACAGACACGAGCATCATGGCAATATGTGATAAGTGATGATATCAAATGTGGATAACAATGAAATGACCTACACGTGTAAATAACGGAGAAAGAACAGAGAAGGACCGCGAAGTGAAAATGTGAGAATAAATATGAAATTGAGTCGATAACATAATCGAACGAGTCGAAGCAGCTTATTGGCGCGAAATTCGCTGCCGTCAATGCCAAACAATTGTTGTCATAGACTTCGGAAAACTAAATGCTTGTAATGAATGTCACTTAGCGTGCACGGGCGAAAGCCTGGGGCCGTTCGGGCTATCAAGCTGTCTCGAATCTGTGAAATCATAACTGTGACTTATATCGACGTCCTATCTGTCTCTTTTCTCCGTTATCGCCAGGCTATGAGTCACGTAATTGTAAAATGGGAACTCTACGACGGAAAAGTGAAGAATCGAAAGTATCGTGAGCGCGTATTATGATGTATGCACAGGCATACATGGATTAGAGCGATAGAAGAAAGAGAAAGGACGAGCAGAAAGAAGAGCAAAGACGAGCGCTTAAAAAGGATAGGCAGGGTCAGTCCCTGCCTATCCTTCTTTTTGCGAGGATTCTCCAACGATAGACGTGTACGTGTGCTGATCTTTGTAATTATAAATTGTGAATACATGTGACTAATATTATTTTTTTTATTTTGTGCATGTTACAAGTTATAAATAAATATAAACAAACAACACTAACTCTATAACATTAACTCTAAATACCAAAATGATTAATTTACTGTGTTTTTGTTGTTTATTACTCCTGTTTTTAGGTATTCGGTATTCGGTCGAATAGTGATTAAATATTCGGTATTCGGCCAAATAGTGAAAAATAGGCTGAATAGGCCGAATACCGAATAGTAACCGAATATTCGTTACATCACTAGTAATTATATTAAACTTGCTTATTTATTAAGTGCGTTAGATAATCTATTAATCAAAAATACATTTAGAGAAGTCTACGGTTTTTACTAGCTTATCGAACAAACGAATACGAATGTACCCTAAACCAGGGATGGCGAACCTTTTTCTGTTCGCGTGCCATATTGTAAGCATACTTAGCTTTAAATATGTTTATGCTTGCCAAAGTTTCAGACTTCGAATAACAATATTTAAAGAAATTAAACGAATACGCTTTAATTAAAATAAATGTAAAAAAGCTCATTGAAAAAAGGATGATCAGGTAATAAACCGAAAAGATGATTGAAAAAGACAGAAATCGTATGATACATTACGTGCCAGATGATTTCTTCTTACGTGCCACTTTGGGCACACGTGCCATATGTTCGCCACCCCTGCCCTAGAACATCACTGACTGATTGCCCCTGGAAGTCGGCTTCTTGCAGAAACACAGCTTCCCTATCATCAAATGTCATAGCACGTCATATATATATATGGCTGGCAAAAGACACTATATATATATATATATATATATATA